AGAGAGAGAGAGAGAGAGAGAATGAGAGAGAGAGAGAGAGAGAGAGAGAGAGAGAGAGAGAGAGAGAGAGAGAGAGAGAGAGAGAGAGAGGAGGAGAGAGAGAGAGAGGAGAGAGAGAGAGGAGAGAGAGAGAGAGAGAGAGAGAGAGAGAGAGAGAGAGAGAGAGAGAGAGAGAGAGAGAGAGAGAGAGAGAGAGAGAGAGGGGGGGGGGGAGGGAGGGAGGGAGGGAGGGAGGGAAGGAGGGAGAGAGAGAGAGAGAGAGAGAGAGAGAGAGAGAGAGAGAGAGAGAAAGAGGAGAGAGAGGAGAGAGAGAGAGAGAGAGAGAGAGAGAGAGAGAGAGAGAGAGAGAGAGAGAGAGAGAGAGAGAGAGAGAGAGAGAGAGAGAGAGAGAGAGAGAGAGAGAGAGAGAGAGAGAGAGAGAGAGAGAGAGAGAGAGAGAGAGAGAGAGAGAGAGAGAGAGAGAGAGAGAGAGAGAGAGAGAGAGAGAGAGAGAGAGAGAGAGAGAGAGAGAGAGAGAGAGAGAGACAGAGAGACAGAGAGACAGAGAGAGAGAGAGAGAGAGAGAGAGAGAGAGAGAGAGAGAGAGAGAGAGAGAGAGAGAGAGAGAGAGAGAGAGAGAGAGAGAGAGAGGGGGGGGGAGAGAGAAGGAGAGAGAGAGGGAGATAGAGAGGGAGAGAGAGAAGGAGAGAGAGAGAGAGAGAAGGAGAGAGAGAGAGAGAGAGAGAGAGAGAGAGAGAGAGAGAGAGAGAGAGAGAGAGAGAGAGAGAGAGAGAGAGAGAGAGAGAGAGAGAGAGAGAGAGAGAGAGAGAGGGTGAGGGGTTGAAGAGGGGAGAGAAAAAGTGAGGGAGGGGAAAGGAAGAAGGGAAGGTGGGTGGAGACGGTGAGAGAGAGGGGGAGGGGGAGTCGGAGGGGAGGGAGTAAGAGAAGGAAGATGGATGGGGGGGAAGGTGGAGAGAAAGGGAAATGAGGGAAGGTGGAGAGAAAGGGAAATGAGGGAAGGTGGGGGTGAAGGGAGAAGGACAGAGGGAGGGATGGAGGAAAGGAAAAAAGAGAAAATGAGAAAATGTTTGGTTAATACAGAATGATGATTAGAGAAATTAACTGATATGTAATATAATTGAAAACTGACATTTAAACATCGATACATTGATACGCATCTTGAATTAAAACAAAAATCAGAAGATACTAACAAAAAACTAGCATTCGCCAAAAGGTAATCATGACCAAGACTGACAAATACACAAATCTATCTCTACACACACACACACACACACAGACTGCGTACAACCTCACCCCCACCCGCCCCCACTTACCTTATTCTCCTCTGCCCCCTCCCTCCCTTACCTACGTCTACCCTTCTACCTCCTCATCCTCTTTACCCAATAATAATCTCCTCCTGGGTATGTTCCTCCCCACTTATCTCCCCCCCCCCCCCCACTCACTTCACTTTCCTCCGCCCCCTCCCTCTCACCTGCGCCTCCCCCTCCCTCCCTCTCTTTCACCCTCACCCTTACCCTCCACACACACTCTCCCCAAACCCCTCCCCCTTGCCGTACACAACCCCCCCCCTCGCTTACCTTACTCTCCTCCGCTCCCCTGGCTGGCCCCTCCCCCTTCCCCTGAGTCCCCGCCCCGTCGCCGCAGCCAATGGCGAGGTCGAACTGCATCATGTAGGAGGGGCCAACGCCTATGGACTTGGTCTCCATGAAGCGAGACACGCCCCCGCCCGCAGCCACGCCCTTGAACACCAGCGCTGAGTCGCGCCCACAGAGGTCGCTCCCGAGCTCGCCCAGGTGGAATCTGTGTGTGTGTGTGTGGGGGGGGTTAATATAGATTTTCTTCAGGTGATGTAGGTGGATGTGTAGGGCTGGATATGGGTGGATAAATGGGCTAATGTTGATTTTCATGGCATATTTGAGGTGGCTAGATGTGGATTTTCCATGGCACAAGCTGGATTCTGGGTGGATAAGTGGCTGGATGTGGATTTGGGATTCTGAATTGAGGAGCGAGTTGATGTAGATTCTATGTCTGTCCATATACGCCAAACGTGTGAGTTAACAAATGGAAGTTTGGATAAACGCAGCTTCTATAGCAACACAACATTCACACAACCCACCTCAACGAGCTGTTGGCCGCTGCCCCGTCACTGAAATCGACTTCGATGTTATTGAAGAGCTGAGATGTAATAGTGAAGTCATCCACCGCCCAGATGTCTCTGCCGGCGCCCGAGTGGCTCTCCTGCCAGATCTGGAAGCGGCAGCCGGGGCCTCTCGCGCCGGGGGGGAGGTCCAGGGAGATGTGGCTGGGGGGAGGAAGGTACGGTGAGTTGGGGGAGTGAGACAGGGGTGGGGAGAGGGGGGTAGGGGTGGGGTATGAGATAGGGGTGAGAAGGGGGAGGCCAGGGAGATGTGGCTGGGGGGAGGTAGGGGGTGATAATGATAGGGAGAAGGGGATAGGGGTGGGGAGATGAGAAAGGGGGTTAGATAAGGGTAAGAAGGGGTGGGGGTGGATGTGGCTAAGGTTGGGGGAGGTGGAGAGTGGGGCTGAAAAGAAAGGGGGCGGGAGTGGGAGTGAGGTGAGATGAAATATGGTTGGGGATGTGGGGGGAGTGAGATGGGGTGAGGGTGAGAAGAAGGGAGTGGTTGGGGAGATGGGGTTTAGGTAGTTAGCCGGGTCGATGGTTAGCCGGTTGGGTAGTTGGAGGGACTATTGGAGAAGGATGCTGGAGGGACGACCGAGGTGTGATTGAAGATGGAGAGGTGTTGGGGAAGAGGGTAGGCGTTAGGAAAGAATGTTGGAGGATGTGATGGGCATGTGGTGGAGATATGTTGGAGATAATCGTCATATGTAGCTGGAGAGAGGGAGGAGATGTTGAGGGGAAAATGAGATGCATTAGGACAGCGAATATACCAAAGGTCGCTGTTAAAAAAAAGAGAAAAAAAAGTTTATAAGGACAGTAATAATATAAACAAAAGACAGTAATAGAATATATAAATAAAAGAAAAGTGTGGCGAATAACAGCTAAAAGAGAAAGAAAAGAAGATAGAAAAGAGAATTACACACACAAAAAACAGAAATAACCAAAAAAAAGAAGAGAAAACCTTAGAAATAATAAAAGGGTCATCAAAACGTATACTCTCTCTCTCTCTCTCTCTCTCTCTCTCTCTCTATATATATATATATATATATATATATATATATATATATATATATATATGAGAGCACACAAAACACGAAACAAAAAACAACACGAGAAAATAAAAACGTATACAACCAATAAAAAGACGGAAAAAAGAAAACCACCCAAACCACCAATAACAACAGGAAAAAGAGACAAAAAGAAGATAAATCCGGACAAAGTAAAGCAAAAAGCAAAAAAAAAAAAAAAAAAAACACGCACACACAGACACACACATAAACGACAGAATAAGAGCAATTTAAAATCTTATGAAAGTCGAGTTAAGCAAAGTCACCGAGGTTCCACGTGCTGACTCATACAATAAAAAAGGCTAATAAAGACAAAATAGACAAAAAAGAACAACAAAAATCATATCAAAGGGCAAAGTAGAGTTAAAGAGAATTCCCTTGGATTCATGATGACGAATATGATGATAATACCGAAAGCGGAAAAGAAGACAAAACCCGACAAAAGAAAAAAAAGATAAAAGACAAAAAAAATACACCAAGTCATTCAAACGACGCAGCCCAACGTGGCCCAAAGCAGAGTCGAGAGCACTGACCTGGGCTCCTTGTGCTGGCTGGCGGGGAGAGTCCTCAGGAGGTGCCAGCCCACGCCCCCGTCGCACGAGTAATGCACGTACACGCTCTCCGCCGGGTCGTCGGGCCCGGGGCACTTGCCCACCTGGGGGGGGGCGAAGAAAGTAATGACGATGATGATGAAAAGGATTTTGATGATAAGGATAAGGATAGTAATGATAATAATGATAAGGAGAAGGATAGTAATAATAATAATGATAAGGATAAGGATGGTAATGATAATAATGATGATAATAGTGATAATGATGATGATAATAACAATAAGTATACCACTACTACTACTACCACTACTACTAACAATAATAACAACAATAATAATAATGATACGAAGAAGAAGAAGAAGAAGAGGAAGAAGGAAAGTTAAAAAAAAATAACAATAACGACGCCGACAACGAGCAACCTCCCCTTCCACTCACATCACTGACGGTACCGCCCACGTAATGGAACTGCAGGAAGTGGGCGTGGGTGGTGTTCACGTCCACGGTGGTGAGCGCGCGCGGGCCAGCACCACGGAACACGGCCGCTGCTCCGGACCCCACCACGCCGCAGCTGTAGCTTGTCTTGCCTCCGGACACCTGGGGTGGGGGGGGGGGGGGGAGTGGGGGAGAGGAGAAAGGGGGAGACGAAAGAGGGAGGGAGGGAGAATGAGAGCGAGGGAGGAGAGGGAGAGGGGTGAAGGGAGAAAGAGAGGGAGAGGGAGGGGTGGGGAAACAGGAGGAGGGGAAGGGAAGGATGAAAGAGAGAAAGGGGGGGGGGAGTGAAGGAGGAGAGAAAAGAAGGGGGGAGGGGGATAAGGGAGAAGGGAGTGAGAGGAGAAGAGGAGAAGGGGGTAAAGAGAGGGGGGGTAAAATAGTGATAATGGGGAGGAGAGAAGTTTGAGAATATAAGAGTGGGAAAGAGGAGACAAGGAAGAAGATGGATAAGAGAGAGGTAAAGTGGGAGATAGAAGCAGATAATGAAAAGGGGGAAGAGAAATAAGTTGCAATAATCATAATCTCATGATTTCTAATAACCTTAATCATATTGCACCACACTTCCCTGTAAACGTTCTATCTACATTATGTTTCTCAAGTCCGAAATAGCTTCAGACAAACCTTTGCGACTGCCCTTAATAATCTGTCTCACAATTCCTAATAACCATACAAATCAAAATATATGTTCCATACATAATTACACAGAAAACTCTTCTTTGAAACAGTCTTCCTTCCACTACCTCCTGCCTC